TTATTGGTCATTTGTTTTTGCCAATTATCTTTTTTATAAGACACATACTCTTCTCATTTACCTTGGCCCTTTTATTGTTATTTTAAACACCTTCCTTTTTAACTGGTTTTAAAAAAAACTTAAAAATTCCTGGAAGTTTCCTGTACCCAAAGAAATCCGTAGGTGGGGATCAATCCACCCAAGCTGTCATCAAAGAGCAGTGCGTCTGCTCCTACTTTGTAAGTACATTTCTTTTATTATTTTACTATTATTCGCCATACAGTGAGCACTATTGGCTGTTTGTTTTATCCCGAGAATTGGATACCATTCACGGAGAGGAACCTGCCCTATATCCCATAAGCGGGGATCAAACCGCTGTACGCGCTTAACTCCTAGAGCTGGACAATAGCTCTGGTAAATGTGAGTTTTATACCATTATAATTTTTTATCTCTAAGACTTGAATTCTACATACTACACCATTGGATGTCCCTTTTTCTTCTCTTTTTTATCTTTTATTAAGTGAAACCACCACAAAAATAGAAGACCTCATCAAACAAGGACATCAGTAAGAAAAAAACCATTTGGACTTATTTTATTTTATTTTACTCTAATTGGACTTTATTTATCTTTTGTGCGCAGCCTTTTATTGTTTTTATTGTATTCTGTTTTAAAGGGTTTGAGGGATTCCCTTTTAAGGTCGCTGCCTATAGTTACTTAGCGCTATCTCACTCTTCATTTTTACCATTAATTCAACAGCCTGTGTTTATTTACAAGAAGTGACCAGCAGGAGAGGGGCACTATGCGCTTCCTTCCTACCGACCACCCGAACATTTGCGCCCCCAGACCGGTGCGCCCTAAGATAGCCACCTGTGCCGCCTTATGGATGTGCCGACCCTGACTATGACTATTTATTAACCACAGGTGCTGACATATCTCTCCCTCTTTTAGGCAGTATACTTTTGAATATAGCTCCTATTACCAATTTCTAGAATTTTTTTAACAAACTCTATTTAGTAAACAATATCTCTAATCTTCCTACTTCATTTGTTGCTTGTTTTTTTTTCTAATTGTAATACTAAGTATTTTTCTACACTTGGCACTTGAAAAATAGCGCTATTTGGACAAGTTTGGACTTGTTGGGTTCCTGTGGAAATTGAATGTGTTTGGGGATTATTTTCTGTGTGGGTGCCTGTAACTGAGAGATAATTGAGTTACCGGTCTTTGACTCAATTATCTCCCAGACACAGGGACGCCTGGGAGTAGTTTGTATTGCAATGTATGAAACCCCATGCTGGGGGTCTGGGTATAAATTGAGTGTACCTTGCCTTGAATTAACCAGTCTACTTCCAGCATTAAGTCTCAGCTAATGTCTGGGGGGGGAAATCTATATCACACTACTCAACTATAATCACTGAAGACGGTGCTAATGGAGATCCAGAGAAGGGGAAAGACCATCCTTGCTGGCAGGACTTGTGTCCCTACCCGAGTGGCAGCCACACCTATTATTAATAAAGTTTACTCAATTTCAGTGAAATCTGCCCCATCTTTTATAGGTGGGGTCTTGCCTTCATAAGGTCCTGTTATTGTAAAATTAAATCTTATATAAAAGATTGAATAAGAGGATTAACATGCATTTCCAGTTACACACACACTGTCAGACATACACAGTTACACACTACCAGAAACACACATTATCAGATGCACATACCTTGTCAGACAAATATCAGGAAGAATAGCAAGAAGTCCTTTAGAATGTAAGCTCGTTTGAGCAGGGTCCTCTTCACCTATTGTTCCTGTAAGTTTTTGTAATTGTCTCATTTATTGTTAAATCTCCCCCTCCTATAATATTGCAAAGTGCTATGGAATTTGGTGGCGTTATATAAATGCCAATAATAATAAGCAACACCAGGGGATTTGGAAATGGAGACTTTTTTCCACTCTGAAGGTTGTTGAGGGTGAGCTTAGGAGACTGCACACACATTGGAAGTTGGGAGCGTTGGATTTCCATATTTGTCTACTACACATCGCCAGACATACACACACACTGTTAGACATACATATATTGCGAGATATGTACACACACAGTTACGCACTGTAAGACACACAGACAGTGCCACACACAATGCCAAACACACCAACACATTTTCATACACACACAGACACAGAATACATTGAGATTTTAACCTGCAGAGACATGAGAGACAAACATATTAAAAACAGGCAAATGTTAAGATGCATCCATTTGCTTTCCATTGGCAGGAGGTCTAAATCTGTCAATGTTGAAAATTGTAGAGCTAAGGAATCTCTAGCTCTACAAAATGTGAGTGCTGATTACCCTAATGCTATTCCTTGCAGAATTTAACTGTATCTGGACTTTTTTCCATTTGGGTCCCAAACCATTACTGGAATTTACAAGCAAGTTGATCATATATTTGAAGTTTTTCCTAACCCATTGTAAAAATATAACTATAAAATATAACCCATCTTTTCCTTTGAGTCTATTTCCATTAATCTGCCTAATTTATAAATAATACTGTTATAGATGGTGTTGGTTTAAAAACATACTGTCAATTTGTACCAATTGATATAGACTTTTATTACTGTGCATATGCCACCACCTTGTGGTCATAAAAATATTTTTTTCTATTTTCTTGCTCTATACTAGAGATAATTCTAGGTACCACTTACACACATATACCTACACACAAACAGTTTTTAAGTATTTCTGCCTTTTTTTATTCAATTACATTCTATCGACAAAAAACTGTCAAAAATTATAAATAGGTTTAGACCAATATTTTAAATGAATTTTAGCAGGATTTAATACTGGCTGAAATTGTAGCAGCTGAGCCCAATAAATAGGCTGACTGCTCAAGGAAAATCCTCAGATAAATGTGCTTCAGAAGCATGTTTACTGACCTTTTTAGTCACTAACCCAGCCTTTGGGGGTACAAATACCCATATTGGAGGTTTGAAACCACCCTCGTACCCCACTCACCATGCTACAAGTGGGGGCATGTACTCCAAACAGCAAGCAACCAGTGGCTGGTCACTGTGATAAAAGACTAATAATAACAACAAGGGGGACCTGCTTGTCACGGTTCTCGCCGCAGCAAACAGACGGCCAGACGTGGTCACCTGTGGAGATCCCAACAAGGGACTTGAACTGGGGAACTTCGCAGTCCTGGTCCTGCTTCCTGCCTCTGAGCCACAGCAGCTTTTGTATTCCACATGTCATTCTGGTCCTGTTCATCCTTGCATGTCTATTACTCTGGGGGCTGTACCTTGACTTTGGATGTGCTTCACCTGACCCTGATCAGACATTAGCAGGGTATTTAAACTCCGCCTCGCCCTGTGATCAGGATCAAGTCTTTGATCCTGTTGTGTGCTTTGTACCAGTGTTCCTTGCGTTTGAACTGCTACTTGTTATTGACCCTGGCTTCTGACTACGTTTACTCTGACCTCTGGCATCCCTTGACTTCGGCTACTCCTCGTTGTTCCTGTCTTCTGGCATCCTTTGACCTCAGCTATCCTTTGACGATCCTGCTGTTTGAGTCCTTGCCTGTCCTGCAACTTGGTACTTCATCCTGCACAGCCCCCGTGCACAGGTGAATTCTTACCTGACCACCTTGGCCTGTGGCTATCTGCAAGGGTGAGCAACATATCTGCGCTACAGACTCCCAACCCAGGTAAGACCCTGACACTGCTACATGCCATAATAAAGAATAGGCCAGTGGGTGAAGACCCCGTTAAAATTAAAAAGTGGTGGGGACATCCTAGTGTCCACCCTGGTGGGTCTAGTTGATAAATAAACTAGGGTCTTAGTGTCCTCCCCATTTCCACCCTTGACATATAGAAATACAGCTAAACGTATGAAGGTGTTGGGAATGAACAGAATGGGGCATGTGAAGGAGCATGCGGAAAACAGTATTTGGGATTTGTTGAAGTAATGGATATTGTGGAAGATCAAGTAGAAGCAATTTACAGTAATTAAGCTTCGTGAAGAGGAAAAATGTGATGACATCCAGTGGGCTTCATTAGATTAGAGAGGCAAAAAGAGATTTGGAAGGGACGATCTGCTGCAAAGGAAGGGAAAGAGAAGAAGAGATAAAGATTTAGAGGTCATTTGCCTGAAAATGGATATAAAAGCAATGAAAGGAGATAAGATCAGAGAGAGGGGTCATGTGAAGGGAGAAAATTAGATGTCAAAGAACTAAACCATGTGGGATCCCAACTGGAAGAGGGTTCAGCGGGGTGGATGTAGCGTTGAGGGAAACCTGATAATATCAATCAAAAAGGTAGGATGAGAGTCAGAGGGCAGTACCAATGACAGCAAGATTGGCCCAGGTGTGGAGAAAAATTGGATGGTCAACCATGCCAAAGGCACTGGATAGATCAAGAAAGATTAGAATGGAAGACAGTTTAGTGTATTGCGCAATACAGCTTTAGATTGAATAAAGAGAATTTGTTAATGATGTTTTCCCATTTTTATTTCACTTTAAATTCCTCAAAATTTATGCTTAAAAAAAAAACAACCCTGTACATTTGTAATGGTTGTTCAGTTTCTTGTTTAAAAAAATAAATAAAAGCACACACATTGAGGAAATGTATTTGGATAGATAGATCCCTGAGATCGCAACTTTATTTGCTGACTTTAAGCTGCGCCGAGGTCTAGCTGTGCCAGACAATGATAAATACTACTATGCAACTTATGTCTCCAGGGTGATCTCCTGGACTTTTACAGATAAATCTAAATTATGGGTGGAACTTGAAAATGACCAATTGCATTTTGACTTGCTGCACTGCCTTGGTTGAACTCTGTGGAGGGGGAAAGGTGGCCAAAAACACATCCTTTAGTGGAGACTTTGGTATATATCTTGAATCACATTGGCCAAAGATCTTTCCTTACGACTCACCATGGCTCCTCTATTTCCATTCTGGGGGACTCTTGATTTTTCTCCAGGATCCAAGGGCTCTGTAAGATTGATTGTTTAAGGCAGGGCTGTCCAACCTGCGGCCCCCCCAGATGTTGCTGAACTACAACTCCCATGATTCTCTGGCTCTCTGTTTCATTGAAAGAATCATGGGAGTTGTAGTTCAGCAACATCTAGAGGGCCGCAGGTTGGACAGGCCTGGCTTAAGGGGTGTCTTCTCCAAGAATACATCATTTGGTCTCCCTTTGTTATAGGCACTCTTACCTGAGCGTAAAACACAAACAGATTCCTGTATACACTGAATTAGTATAGTGAGCAGACATTATTGAAGCAATGTTTAGGCTCTGCAATAATGTTTATCAAGAATAATACAACAAGACAAATCACATATATTTAGAGGTTGACCAAACAGTCATTATAAAAAATGTTTAAATATTAACAACACTTACTTTACAATGCAAAACCATCCACAGACTGTAAAAAAGGAGGAGATGTAATAATGTGAAGACATACAAGAATATTGTGGGTTTCTAAATACATAGTGCCACTTTGGCTGAATATTATAGGGTTAGACGCATAGCCAGGGGGCATGAGCCTCTTTGTCAACAACTGGGATTATTGCTCTAGATTGGAGACTATTTTTAACAAATGTTCTTTTAATTGGATATTGTTCAGTCTTGATTTTTGTTTTTACACCTGGAGATAAGTAAAACAAGGGAGGAGTTTAATAAACTGGAGGTGGAATTAAAAAGGTCTGTTAATGAAGAGCAATTTATTACAATGAAAATGAAAATGGATAAAAGTGTGGAGACGTTTAAAGGCAAAATAGAGGAAAGAAAATGCTCTGGTAAATGGCAAATGATTTAGGTAAACAAGAACCATGGTCAGAGTTGTGGCAACAGACATTTAATGTGGATAAATGCAAGATAATGCATCTTGGACGTAAAAACCCAAGGGCAGAGTACAGAATATTTGATCGAGTCCTAACCTCAACATCTGAGGAAAGGGATTTAGGGGTAATTATTTCAGATGACTTAAAGGTAGGCAGACAATGTAATAGAGCAGCAGGAAATGCTAGTAGAATGCTTGGTTGTATCGGGAGAGGTATTCGCAGAAGAAAGCTCATGCCGTTGTGAAGAACACTGGTGAGACCTCACTTGGGGTATTGTATCTCCAGGAGGATATTGATACTTTAGAGATAATTCAGAGAAGGGCTACTAAACTAGTTCATGGATTGCGGGATAAAACTTACCAGGAAAGGTTAAAGGATCTTAACATGTATAGCTTGGAGGAAAGACGAGACAGGGGGGATATGATAGAAACATTTAAATACATAAAGGGAATCAACACAGTAATGGAGGAGACTATATTTAAAAGAAGAAAAACTACCACAACAAGAGGACATAGTCTTAAATTAGAGGGACAAAGGTTTAAAAATAATATCAGGAAGTATTACTTTACTAAGAGGGTAGTGGATGCATGGAATAGCCTTCCAGCTGAAGTGGTAGAGGTTAACACAGTAAAGGAGTTTAAGCATGCATGGGATAGGCATAAGGCTATCCTAACTATCAGATAAGGCCAGGGACTAATGAAAGTATTTAGAAAATTGGGCAGACTAGATGGGCCGAATGGTTCTTATCTGCCGTCACATTCTATGTTTTGTAGAACATGGATATATGCAGTTATATATATGTATGTTATATATAAAAACATATTTTTATAGATTTATGTTTATATTATAGTATATGATATGTGCCCATTATATATACAATTTAAGAATAACAGTGTCAATACAGTATTCATTTTGTTTTAGCTATACTAACCTCTTATGTCTTTGATTTATTCTCTGTTTTTCTGAGATGGTAGAAACCAGTTTCTCCGGTACACCAATGACATTGTAATTTTAATGAAACACCTGTAGATGTCTCTGTTTAATTAATGGATGTTGCAACCAATGTGAAGAAGGAGAGAAATTACAGACTTGATATTACTACGTGTTGCATGGAAGAATGGTGAAAGCTGTGGTTTCTCTATTTTGTTATTATACAGGATAAACATCTTTTAACATTTTTTTTCCCATTAAATAAAAAGATAAATTCGATAAATGAGATGCACAGCTCACACATAGACATGGAATAAAAGAGCAACTGTACTATATGAATGAACATAGAAGAACAAGGGTGATGCCTTATAGGCAGAGGGATGTCAGCATTTTATGATTGAAGATAACATCTTCAGGACATTCTGCTGACTAAACAGGCACACACAGACATACACTGCCAGACAAACACATACTGAGAGATAAATGCACACAAACGTACATGCTGCCAGACAAACACACTAACACACACAGGGACATAATGCATGACACGGACATAGTGGCAGACACTTTCTGTCAGTCACACAGATACTGCCAGACAAACACACAATATGGGACACGCATGCACATCGCCAGACACAGACTAGCAGATCTTTTCAACTCATAAAATTGTTGGAACAAGTAGCAAATTAGAATCATTTAGACAGCCAGGGAGGTCATCTTTCTCTTCTGTTAGCTCCATAAGGTAACGGAAGAAGCAGGTGCGTCTGCGCTTTATCCCCCAAAATAGCAAAAAATTCCAACATATCCCTTCTTTTCAAATAATCAGCTATCCATCTTATTGGATGAAGCCCACAATAAAGACAATGTTTCGCCCACACAAAGGTCTTTTTCAAGCCACTTTGTTGACTGACTTGTTGCTACCCGTTTGGTTTTGGTGAAGGTCTAGGTTACATCGGCACCTCTTACTCTTCAAAAATCTTCCTTATCAATCTTAAGTGTGCTGCTGGCTATTTTTTTAAATTTTATACCATTGTCTTCTCAACCAAGTCACAATGTGTCCATGAATCAGACAAAGCATGAGTCCAGATGGTGGTGCTTAGAGAGTCTTGTAAGTTGTGGACTTGACAATTGAGGACTGCTTACATAGAATTCCACTCTTGGGGGGAAACAACCACGATCCTTTCACTCATTTTAAATTGAATATTTTATTTATTGTTCCAAATAAATGTGATACTCTTCATCCAGTTTTGGGATTTACCTTCTGTTCACACAAAGACACACTGAAGTCCTGAGACACTTGCACACCGGAGCGTAAAATACAAAGAGTCAATGCATAGAGCCAAGGTTGGTCTCTCTAACTTTGGAGCGAACATCTTGAGTAACATATCTGCACTTGTTGAATGATATTATATTTGTTAATGATGTTTCCCTTTTGCACCTGTGCACTAAAAATGATACAGTCACTTTAAAATCAGCATAATTTACTTTATATATTGCATACAATGTGTTGCATTGAAATTTTAACAAAAAATGTATATCTTGCCTAGGTGCAAAATACAAGTCATATTTCTGGCTAGAATATAATGCAACCTACGTAGGCTTTTAACTGAATACCATTTCCAGCTTAATGACTTGTAAATTGTCAATAGACAAAGGAAAAATCATCTCAGATATGCTCCTCCAAATTATCCATACCAATCTTAGATCATCAGAGATTGAGGTAAGAGCTTACATCAAGATGAAAGCCTGTGCCAGCTGCCACGTAGGCTTTAGACAGTATCAAGACCAACTATACTCCATGGAGTCTCAGAGATCCCGCATTATTTACAGGCAGAGTGGGACATTTAGCCCATCAGAGTGGGACATTTAGCCCATGTACTGCATCGTCCACTGAGGAGCAGAGTCCCAGGTACTAGTGTCTGAAATCCCAATGGATGAAGACTAAGATACTACCTTGTATTGAAAACTTCTTTCAGTGTAGAACCATTCTTGCATTAAGGATCTTAAGGGTACCGGGAACTGGAAAAGATGCTCTGCACCATCTGACATCCGAAAAGTAAGGCTAGAGGTAAAAGGCTCAACCTTAGAAGATTCTATCAGGCATAAGGACCTGCGGACTCTGGAAATCAAATGGTTCACGTGAGCGGATTCTGAAACTACTGTAATAGGCTGAATATCCTCATCCAACTATTCCATATCTCTGAATGTATACATGGCCAAGGATTCCTCAGAGTATTCATTCTGGGAATTGTCCAGAGGATTCAAACTTTAACTGCTTCTATGACGTCTTGAGATACCTCCTGTTTAATATTGCATAATATATGGCACAAGGGTAGATGGGCCTGTAACCACTTTTAGACCATCTGTACAAAGGCTCTACTTTTACAAGGTTCTCTATCATATACCTCAACAAAGGATCCTTTTGGGGCGACTTTCCTTGTATGATCCGGATGATTTTCTTCACATAGAGCTATAATCACAGGGAATTCCAATTATTAATAGGCACTCTTTTGTTTAGTAACGACAGAAAAAATAGAACGGCTTACCTATGTCTCTTAGAGTGTGACATTTTCCAGGAGCAGAGGGATCTGAATCCATAACTGCATAAGATCCCCTTTAATCCTTAACAAATCTCTGCTAAAACAAGTAGAGATTGATAGATATAGAAAAAGATGTAATATACCTTCAATAAAGAAAAACTTACCAAAACCAAAAAGGAGAATTCAAAAGAAGATGAAAACTGCACACAAATCTACTTACTTAATATAGATTATAAGAGCGAAAAAATAAAAGAAAGAAATGTTCTTAAAAGGGGGAGCCAGTACAAAACTGAAACTGGACTTACATTTCAGAATAAGCATAAGCAAATAAAAAAAAATTCACATGCACGGAAACTGCATGCCGCGACCGTACAACTAGCACCTGCGTATTCGCAGGGGATTAAACGCCAAGGAAAAAGCATGATTGGGCACAAAAGTAAGTATGGAAGCTTAAGGACCTATAAAGCATGTCGAAAGGCTGAAATAAAGGAACATAACAGTGAATAACCTATAACCAAGTACAGAGACATAGAAATAAGATAATAAAGCTAGTGCATGCCTAAAACCAAACAGAAGTATATAATAATGTAATAAGTGGCAGATAGTGAATGCACAAGAGAAATCACAAGGTATAAAACTCACAGATGCATAGAAAAAGTGAATAAAGTGGCAAATGCATATTAAAAGGCACATAGAATAAGTGAACCCAGCACCTGTATTAAAAGGCACACATCCCATGTGTTCCCTATTAAGGGTTAATAAGTATGTAGGGGTGTATATTGAAAATGCCCCTCTGTCCACACCATGTGTTCCATGT